CCCTCTCACCATTCTGGTGAGGCTTTCATTTCACCATCCAGGCTCGGGTGTCTGGTGGGCTGGGGGAGCTGCCAACACAGGCTGAAGTGGAGATGCTCTCGATGCTGCAGGCACCCTGACAGCACCTGCCTGGGGAAGCTAAGGCCACCTGCATGGAACACTTTTTACTCTGTGCTATGGCAAACTTCTTTCATAAATGCTTTAATACACGTTTTCAACTGAGGTAAAAGTGTATGACAAAGCTTCTCGCAGCTTTTTTCTTTAATAAAAATGGGTATTTGTGGTGTCTCTTACTTCAGACCTGGGTCAGAAACTTTGGAGTGAGGATTCAATTCACCACTTGGTAATCTTAATTCCAGAAACATATTCTTTGAATATGAAAACATATAACAATTACAATTAAAAGGTCATTCTAGAGCACTGGAGAGAAAAAAATTACTTTTGTTCTACAGTCTGTATTTTCAAAAGTTACAGTGGGAAAGCATAACTGGCACAGCCATAGAAAGCAGGCTGCAAAGAAAGCACTGATCAGAGACAGTATCAATTCAACCTAAAACATTATTGCAGAAAGCTTTTAAGCTTTTTTTTTTTTTTTTTTTTTTTTTTTTTTTTTTTTTTTTTTTTTTTTTTTTTTTTTTTTTTTTTTTTTTTTCTTTTTTTTAATGTTCTAAGACATTTAAATTATGTACTGGTAGGAGATGTTTCCTTAGGTGTAGACAAAGCAGCCTTGACAAAGTTCAAGCATTTTTGTTCTGTCCAAACTGTACAGAACAGTTTATTTCCTTCTTTGCAATGTGACTGACACAGCTTTTGTGAGTAGCAGTATCCCGAAGACAGTGATGAGGAGCCTGTTTCACAAAGCACCACACAGTGTGGCTGAGGCTGGATCTCTGGAAGTCATGTGGTCTGACATCCCTGCTCAATCAGGGTCACCTACAGCCCATTCCCCAGAATCCTGTCCAGATGGCTTTGGAAGGTCTCCAAAGTTGGAGACTCCAGCAGCTCTCTGCCAGTGCCTTACAGTAGAAAAGGCTTCCTGATGTTCATAAGGAACATTTCATGTTTTATTTTGTGCATGCTGCCTCTGGTCCTGACACTGGGCACTGTTATGGTCAGGCTTACAAAGAAAACTTTAAAGTAACAAAAAAAGAGGCCAGTTCATTGTTAATTAAAAACAAGTAAACCTGTTTATTACAAACTGAACAACTGGAAGCAAAAGCCTCAGGCTAGTCTGGAGACTGTTTCAACAACTTAGTAACTGTAACCTAGAGGCATTTCCAAGGATACCTGCTCCCAGGAAAGACCCGGGTGTCACACACCCCAGGCCTTTTAAAGTCTCTCTCTTCTTCCCTTACTGGGGCGCTCAGGATCTGTGCTGTGATAGGTTTCTTTTTCTGTTGCTGACTAGCCCATAAATTGGTGCAGTCTTGGCCAATCCTTTTGAGATTCTTGCTTCTTATTGGTTCATCTCTCCTCCCGTCTTGATCCGAGCTGTGGTTGTGTTCCACGGTGCAATCCTTCTGGAAACTTCCCTGTCCCTCCACAAAGATTGGCAGCTCCTCCCCGTTTCCACTCCCCTTTTATGCATGCACAACAATACTGAGCCTTAATGTAACTAATCACCATTTGTTACTCGTACTCACAACACCTAACCCTGTACGTACATTGTTAACTACATTTCCATCACAACTTGTTACTTGTACCAACAACATCCAACCTTCTACATACATTGTTAGCTGCATTTCTAATCACAATTTGTTAGTTGTAACAACAAGATTTAACCTTGTATATACAGTACAACTACATCTCCCCAAAAGTTTAAATCTTATTATTGTTCATAACAGGCACCACTGCAAAAAACCTGGTTCTAGTCTTCTTTTATCCTGCCTTCAGGTTTTCACACACAGGTTTTCATCTTTGTAGCCCTTCATTGAACTCTCTCTAGCAGCTCCAGCTTTCTCTTGCACTCAGGAGCCCAAAGCTGGGCTCCAGCAGAAGCCTCACTTGTGCTCTACGGAGGGGCAGGATGAACTCACTCAACCTGCTGGCAATTCATCCTGTTGCAGCCCAAGGCACTGCTAGCCATCCTTACTGCAAGGACACAGTGCTGGGTCACATTCAGCTCACTGTTCATCAGAACTCCCAGGTCTTCTGGAAAACACATCTCCAGATGGGGAGTTCCCACCCACGTACTAGTGCCTGTGGTTATTCCTCTTCAGCTGCAGGACTTTGCTCTTCACCTTGTTCCATTTGCTCCCCTCAACTTCATGAAGATCCTCTCAGCCTATTTCTGCAGTTCCTTGACCTGGCAGCACAACCCAGTGGTTCCTCAGTTACCCATCCCAGCTAGGTGTGACCTGCACACTTCCTGGGAGTACACTGCCCCAGGTCGTTAATGAAGAGGTTAAAAAGCCTCAGGCCCAGTTTTGATCCCTGGGACACTTACTGGTCTCCAACTAGACTTGTGCCATGTGTCACACCATCCTCTAGGCCTGGCCATTCTCCCGAAGCCATTGTCTGCACACCCAGTCCGTACATCAACTGCTTCTCTTTCAAGGTATTACCTGGAGCCAAAAGCCTTGCTGAAGTTTGCAAAAACAATGACTGCTCTTTCCCTTGTTCTTTAACAGGCTGTCCCCTTTCACTTCTGAACAAACCCAAAGCAGAAAGATTTACATGCAGCCTTACATAAAGATAAATTTTCTCTCATGTTCAGTATGCACAAGATAAGCAGAAAGCTTATAAAAGAAGACACAGAGAGAAGATGTCCTTCATCCACCACCATGGTGATTTAATTTTTTCCTTGTTATTACACAATGACATTCGTAACACAAGTCATTATATATATTCTGCTTCAAGTATACAAAAATAACAGTTGTGCTGCCTTAAATTAAATTAAAAACCTCCAAAAGTCTCTATTTTGAATAAGCTAACCAAAACTTCAGAAAACTTGCAGGTGGTTTGTACTTTTACAATTATACTGGAATATAAGTTCCTTTGTTACATGAATTTAACACATTTAGCTACACCAGTTCAAAAACACTGGCTTAATGTTGCCTATAAATGACCTGTGTCCAACAAGCTCTAATATGCAGTCGAATTAAGAGAAAAATATTACTGCTAGGTAATGAGAAGCATGGTGTGAGACTGGCTTAAACTCTTTTTGTTTAAGGCAAGCTGCAGTGCCAGTAGAAACAATGCTACTAAAAAAATCATACCTATTACCCACGCATGTGTATCAGCAGTCATGCATCACATGGATTTGGCTGGTTTTTTTCCTCTATCAGAACTGTTTTCAGACAGATGCATTACATAACCGTGGGCAGTACCCACGTTTCTGGCAGCACCAAGGAAGCAGGAGCTTCTTTAAAGACTTATCTCCTTTTTTCTGCAGGGGCTCAGAAAGGAGAGGAGAGAGGAGCACACTACAGGCAGGGGGTATGGGCATGAGAGGAAAATTAGACACTAATAAACTGTGAACTGAAAGGGTGTAAAGCACTGAACAGGCTGTGGATGCCTCATCCTGGGCCAGGTTCACGGCCACGTTAGATGGGGCTGAGCAACCAGATCTGGAGAAAAACATCCCTATCACGGTGGGTGGCTGGAACTACAAGATCTCTCAGGCCTCTTCCAACCACTCTATGGTTCCATGATGTGAAAAACGCCAATCATTGGTTTTTAAAATTTTTTAAAAGTTTAATAATAATAAACTGATTATAAAAATAGTAATACAGTTAGAGCAATAAAATTTATAGAGTTAGGACAATTACAAGACAATAAAAAGCAAAGAATTATGGATGTCTGGATCCTCTCAGACACTAAGTCACAAAAAGCATGACTTGTGAAAAAAGGAATAGCGTTTAAAGCAATAGCCTGTCGCATATGTATATATCTCATACTGATGCATAAATTTCTTGCAAATTAAGAACTTTTCTGGTTTTTGTCAACTTCTTCTCCTTAATCCTGGTGGTTCCAAAAAGATGGAGAGAAGGTGGAAGAATGTTTGTCTTTTCTGATAAGGAAGCAGTAACTTTTCATGCCCCCCCTTTGCTTACATCTCTGTGTGAAGAGTTCCTTGATTATCTTATTTTCTCGCTTGACCTTGTAACAAACCCTGTATTGCAGAATTTCTATTTTAACATTATGTTGTAACCTAAAACTGTATTTAACACACTTAAGAAAATTAACATTACACATATAATATTCATTGTAACATTTGTGAAAAGCCAATCATAAAATACGCATTTTTTCACAATGGTTCTATTGAAGCAACCGTGAGATCGCTGTCTGGCCACGTTCCCACGGCGCTTATCGCATCCCACAGGGCAGAAACAGCACGCTTATCTGGGCAGCTGCAGCACCTCCCCGAAAACCCTGGCAGCCTGCTACGCACGTACTCCCAGGCAAGCATTCCATGGTTTGTTTCTCTGGGTAAGGATGTTTGCAAACTGAGGTGCTGCCCGCAGTTCCCACCCTGCTCTGTGGACACCTGCACCCTAGGACACGGCAGCAGATACCCAGGGGTAAACTATTTTAGAGTGAACATGACGCTCACTTAAAAGGGCGAAGGCATCACTCTTTCGCTACCCTGAAATAAGCAGAACCTTTGGACACCGGGGCCAGGACGGAGCCCAGCCGAGCCCCACCAAGCCGGGCAGGGCAAGGCCAGGCCGGGCTGAGGGGAGCAGCGCGCAGCGACGGCGCTGAGCGCCGGGCCGAGCTGCGCATGCGCGAGCTGGGCGCAGGCCTCGCCGCTGGCCAGTCAGCAGCGCCCGCGCCCGCCCCGCCCGCCCCGCTGACCAATCAGCGGCGCCCCGCCCGCCCCGCTGACCAATCAGCGGCGCCCCGCCCGCCCCGCTGACCAATCAGCAGCGCCCCGCCCGCCCCGCCTCCCCGCTTCGTGCTCGCGCCGCCGCTCCGCCCGAGCGCCGCCGCCCGTTACGTAACTCCCGCCGCGGTCGCCGGGGATTGGTCGGGAGCGGCGAGCGCGCGCGTCATGCGGCGGCGGGCTCGGGAGTGGCGGCACGCGATTGGCCGGCTCGGCGGCAGCCAATGGGAGCCGAGGCCCTGGATTCAAACGGGGCGCGGCGCGAGAGGCGGCGGTTAGTGCACGCGCAGCCGTGAGGGGAACCAGAGCCGTTGTTGGTGCCGCTGCTCCTGCTGCCGCCCGCCATGGCCCACAAGCAGATCTACTACTCCAACAAGTACTCCGACGAGCAGTACGAGTACCGGTAAGAAGCTGTAGGGGTGAGGAAGAGCTGTTCCGTAGGAGGGCAGCTCGGCCGGGGGCCTTGGCTGGCGTGTGCGGGCCGCTCTCCGGGAGTGAGGCGGCTCCGCCGGGACAACGGCGCCAGAGAAGGCGCTGGGCCACCGGGAAGGGGCTGTGCCGAGCCTCTCCATGGGGGCTTTCCGCGTGGTTCGGACTGGCGGGACGAAGTGGGGGAGTGGCCGAGTGCTGTTATCGGTAGGCGCAGATGGCTCGCTGAGCACCAGCCCTGAGCGCAGGGCGATGGCGGAGGGGCGGCACCCGCTGCGCTGAGTCCGGGGAAGGGGTTATGGCAGGGCCCGGGGTGGGGCAGCGACGTCCCCTGCCGACGGGGAATTGCTGAAGTTTAAGTCTTCTAGACTTAGTATTACAAATGCTTTAGAAGTCCAAAGTTCTTATTTTTCAAGTGGCTGATATATCAGCCTGTTGCCAGGAGTGCATGCTTCTCTGAGTGTATAGTCATTGAATTCCGAAGGGGTTCGAATTTCATCTAGAAGGCAATTTGCCTTCCAGTATGCGGTTCCTTTACAGATGTAACGTTTAATAGTCATAAGTAACTTTAAACTGGGTTCTGGGATGGATTTCATAATCAGATTCATGCCAAGAGTCGGTACTCCTGTTTTCTTTATAGGCGAAGGGAGTATTCATAACATGCTTACTATCTTTCTGTGCAGATCTGTTCTAGTTTTCTAGTGCGCAGCATTTTGTGTGTGTGTTTAATAATTAAATCTCTACAGACATGTGATGCTTCCGCGAGAACTTTCGAAACAAGTGCCAAAATCTCATCTGATGTCTGAAGAAGAGTGGAGACGACTTGGTGTTCAGCAGAGTCTTGGCTGGGTTCACTATATGATCCATGAGCCAGGTGAGCACATATGAACAGTATTAGACAAATGAAAAAGTCAAATGTCAGACTGGAGATTGTTCCTGCCTCTGCCCATAGAACCAGGCTTTTTATGAGTTCTTAAACAACATGAGCATGCAGAGACTGAAACAAAGTTAATATAGCAGCATATTTTTAAATCGTAAAGCTGACACACCTACTTTTTTGTAGACCACCTTAATAGATGCTCATGTAGACACGGTCCTGTATTAATCTGAAAATTCTAGAGAATAGTATTAACTCTAGCTGTAGAACCTCCTGAAAAGTCAGTTTCAGTTAATGGGGTGCGAAGCCCTCAGGCCCGTACTAGCTGGGATGTTGGTATTGTGGGAACAGCTTCAGGGCTTGTAGCATTGACAAGCCTGGCTAAAAAGTAACAGGTTGATTGATACATTGCAGCAGCAGGAAGTTACGAGTTTCTGAAGAATCAGGTGAAGAAATTAGCATAGCCTTCCCGTGTTTTATCTTATTTGGGTAACTGATATTTTGGATTTTTTTTGGAGGCATTTAAAATTAAGAAGACTGATAATGTAAGCTGGCTGTATTAGCCGAAGTGAGTTTTGTTGGTGTTTGAAATGTGCCTAACAGACAGTATCAGCAGTTTGTTAGTTTAAGTTACAGTAACAGTGTTTATCACACAGCCTAATGTAATGAGATACTATAAAATAGTCTGTATTTTCCCAGTACTTCCCTCCTGTAAGGATCTTAAATTTATGATACTAGCAGCATTGGGTATAAGAATAAAAACTTGACTGTTGTAAGAGTACTGCAAACTTGGTATGTTAATATTACATGTGGGGCCATACTTAGGCTTTCTAATTATTTATTTGAAACTAAGCCTCTAAACTAAGTTCAAGAGTAAAGAAATTAAGGTTTGGACAAACTGACACTTTGTTCAATTTTCTTTCTGCAGAACCGCATATTCTGCTCTTCAGAAGACCACTTCCAAAGGATGAGCAGAAATAAGCCGTGGCCTTTGGAATCTTCTGGAACTATGTATATGAGTGTATATATGTTGGTAGTATTCAGTGAATACTTTTGATTTACAAAACTTACATCCAAACCTGTGCATGAGCTGTATTATTCACAGCAACAAAGCTCAGTTGAATGCAATTCCAAACAGGCTGCTATGATGTTCAAAGAATTCTTATCTTTTACTGTTAATGGAAGTGCCTCTCTGAATTAAATTGTGTTGTTTGTGTTGCATGTTCTAATTAGCTCATGACTTGGTGTTTTTGCACTCATATTTTCTGCTGTAGTGTACTATGTTCAAATCCAGTAGCTTAACTGTTGAGTAGTAAGTAGGCTTAAGAAATAAACTGTTAAATGTTTCATGAAACATAAGTGTCTAGAGTTGTGATTTGTGGGTCTCGGATTCAGTCAGTCAGAAATTGAGTGTTTCTAGCCAGGCAGAAGCCTGGGAAAGAGTTGTAGAAGAATGTAAATAATTCATTATCTGTCTTGTTATTCACATTGTTCATAGTTAAGTTCTAGCACTGCATCAAGCACTCTGCACCAATGGTGTGGTTGTTTTCACTTCAGGACAGTGGAGTTGGTCCTCACAAAGCTCTGTGTAAAGAGCGATGCGTTTGAATAAACCGCAGTTTTACTCTCAGCAGCCTTCTGAGTCGTTCCCGTCCTGCCTCAACAGTGATTTAATGGACAAAACAAATATTCATTGTCTAATATTTTTTAAAAGTGCTTACTTCAAAAAACAAAACTCATTTTATAAACTTGGTATAAACTTGGGCTTGAGTAGTACTCAATATTTAAAAGGGCTTTTTAGACTCCTTTGTTCAACTTTACCAACACATGTTGATTTTTGCTCTGGGCTTTTAGCCTGCTCTTCCTGTCTTGCATCCAAACTGTCACTGTGGTTCTGTATATTGAGTAACTCTTAAGAGTAATGGGTTCATATCAAAGGCAAACTGCATCATGGTTGTGCACAATTTGGAAGGCCAACAAAAGCAGGGCCTTCATCGAACGACACACAAGAAAAGTATGTGCTCGTGTGTCAAGGAGACAGACCAAGTAAGTAACCTGGAGAGTTTGGAGGAGAAGAACCCTCGTGGTCTTTCCTCCAAAAGCTGCTCGAACTGTCTGTCTCAAGTGCTGGTGTGTACCAGGCCTGGCTAGGGCGGGCCTGCCCGCGTCTGAAGCAAGCGCCTTCGCTAGCGCTGCTGTGAGCTGCTGCTGAGCCGTGCTTAGCCCGGGCGCGCTCCCTCTAGCCCCGGGCGGCGGCCGGCGCTGCCCGCGTCCCGAGGGCCGGGCCCGGCCGCCCGTGCCGCGCGCGGCTGCGGCGTCATCGCCCCGCGCCGGGCGGCGGGAGCGGGGCCGCCCCGCGCCATGGCGGCCCAGCGGCGGCCGCGCTCGGGCCGCGCCGGCCAGGTAAGGGCGGCCGGGCGCCCGCAGTCCCCTGCCCCTCCCCGGCGCCTCCCGCCGCGGAGTCGCTCTCCGGGAGCCGCCCGGGGGCGGATCGCGTCGGGCCGCGCCTCGGTGCCGCTCCCCGCCCCGCGGGCCGTTCGGCAGCCCGGCCCGAGCACGTCCCCGGGCAGGGCGACTCCCGCCGCTCCCTGGATCAGCCCGCGGTGCGGGACTGGGGCAGAGTCCTTCTGGAAGGGCACAGCCGGGGACAGGGATCGCTCAGGTTGCAGCACAGCGAGTCGCTCCCCACAGGTCGGGACGGGCAGCTCCAGACATTAACTCCCAGTGATTTCACATATGGAAACCTTAAATCATTCAAAGTGGAGGGTCGGCTGCAAGGACAGGTACATCCCGGACAGTGTAAGGCTGGCTGACCGGGTTCTAACCATTAGTGGCACTGTTACCGCATGGACCTATCACCCGGTCAGGTTCAGGGCTCTTGGTGGTCAGGCCGCGCTCGCCGTTGCTTCCGGCATGTTTTGATGACATGGCAGTAAATACTAAGAGTTTCATTTCATTGTCCTTCCATATATACATATCCAGTTTAAATCGATGGCAATTCAGAACAAATGGAAAGCTTGTCTTACTAAATTTGTGTTGTGCTAGAAACAGGAAGGCTATAAAATAAGTGTTCGTTTCAGTCTTAAAAGGTGATGTGCACAAAGTCATTACTGTTACGTACACGCTGCAGAGTTTGATTAACAGTACTGCTAGTATATTTATGAATTTTAGTTCCTACTGTTAAAATATGAAGTAAGAATTTGTATATTTGCACTTACTGCATTTTGTTTTAGAGCAGGCTTCTCCCCTTTACATAACTAACCTTTTTGAGGGTTTAATGATGAATGAAGGTATTAAGTGACTTTACAGAGCAGTCAGATGTTTCTTTGAATTCCTTGGTTTTATTTTCACTTTATTTCTCCATTTCCTTTTGGTGAGCTTTGTTGTTTTGCATGTTTTGGTAAAAGAGAGCAAACTAACCCTTTCCAGTTAAGCCCACGAGACTGAGTGTTTTTCACTTACATAACATTAATCTCCAAATGCACGTAGCCAAAAAACGTTTTGTTTCTCAGGGCATCCAGTTGTCAGCAGAGGTCAAACCATTTGTTCCAAAGCATGCGGCGGTAACTGTGGCATGGTCAGAACCCTCAGAAGCATGTGTCTTTCCTAGGTACTTAACTACATGCTACCCATTTGTTCAGGAACCGTCTTTGGATAAGTATGTATATTTTATTAATCTTATTTCTTGGGGGATTTTAACCTTCTGGTTTTGGATGTTGAGTATCTTAAGAAGTAAGATTAAAGGTTCCGATATGTTGTTAGTCCAACTGTAGAAATGCTTCTGCATTATCTTAATGATTAAGTTTTTACATTTATGTTCTCTGGGTGTATACTAGGTACCTGGTCATTTGTTCACAAGGGTCTGTATTGTTACAGAGTGTTAAGGAGAATTTGGTGTTCTGTAATGATTGGTCTGGTTTTTGTGTGTTTTGGAAGGAGCTGAATCCAATCTTTGGATGAAAAAATGGTTGTGTTGCAACCAGGTTGAGGTAGATGTAGTTGTACACAAGTAAAATGATTCTTTAATAAGGTTCCTAAACCTGTAAAATATTTACTATATGGGGTCTCTCCTGGATCTCCACAACCTGTGCATCTCCAGAAAGGCAGTTTTACTAAAAAATGTTAGAGGTTTCTGCAAGTTTTGGGATTTTTCTATTAGAGTCGAAGAATGGTATTTGTGGTAGACTTACAAAAAATACTTTATAAGGAGCAAACTGAAAAAAAAGCCTGCATAGCAGAATGGGAAATAATTGAGTCTTGTAAGAATCTGGTGGTGTTACATAGTTCTCTCACTGGATTGATTATACAATTGCTGCAGAGTTAATGGTGTTTCTTTAAAAATTCAGAGCATTAGTGAACACAATCATCGTAGGCCATCATTTTATCCTACAGGAAATCTTAGTATTTTCAACCTATTTTCATTTGTACTAGAAATTTAACATTGCGGTGAGTATGGCCTGTTCTGTACATTAGAGAAAGCCCACAGCATTAGCATGAAATCAATTACTACAAAAAAAAACCCACTACCCAGACAACAGTAGTCTTCTAATGAGTGTTCTGCCTTGTTGGCACTGAGACATAGTTACAGTTGACTCTCTTTGGCATATTGCTTCTTTGTGTGTAAACTGATGAGAAGCCTTGTTTTGACTACACTCTGTCAGAATTGCAGCAGGTAGTACGGAGTGTGTTATCTGACGTCTTCTGTATCTATGGGAAAGTTTCTCTGTCATTACACAAAATTCTGAGGCTGGCAGCTTCATGGAGAGCAGCTTTAACAACTGAGTGCAACTTTCTGGAACTGAGAAATTTCTGTTCTCCCTAATCAAACCTGAACTCTGTGTATTTTCTGGACAAAGTATAGAAGGAAATTGAAAGGGAACTTTTGAGCATGCATTTGAGGGAAAGAGGCATGCCCCGGACATGTTGTGTTTTCATTAATTGTGATGGTTACATGCTGGTCTGTTAATTATTGTTTTATAATTCTGCATTGTATTTCATACATGTTTTATACTCCATAAAAAGTTATACTTTCACGTTGTTATTGTCATTTTAATATAGGTTTTAATGTTTGTTCTTTTGCAGTCAAGTATGTGATGCATGTCATGTCCTTACACTGTGGTTTTGGTTTGTTTTACAAGAAAAAGCTTACTGAAAATAAGCATGAAGAGTCTCAGTAACCTTGAACAGGCATGAGAACTATAACTGCAGAGCAGACTTGCTTTGACACTTGGAAATGGATAAACGTGTGTTTTGAGATACTTGATTAACTACATGTTTTCCCAAAACAAAATTAATTGTTTTTAAATAAGTCCGTAGCAGTTAGTAAATACCTAGTTGAAATAACATGACATAGTTTTCTTTTGAACTAGAGCTTTCTTGTTAAACAAATTCTTTAAACAAGGAATATGTTTGTCAATGCAAACAAGTAGGTGCTTAAGACTTGCCACAGGATGACTTTCATTTCTTTTTCAATATCCATCACATAGTGTTCTGGGAGATCCTGCCTTCCGTGAATACTCTGGCTGCTCTTACTCACCTGATGTTGTTGCAAATGTGTATCCAGTAGCTGGCTCACAGTGTCAGTCTAACAACTCAACACTCTATAATGGTTCAGGAGTAGTCAGTGAATCTGCTGAACAAACATATCCAGTCAGACAAGAAAGTAGGAGTCTTTCAAAGGTGAGCAAATTTGTGTTTTCTTAAAAATTAATATTAAATTCTTACTTTATATCAGTCTTTATAAATGTTTGGTTCATATTTTTAAAGTGAATCATTTGTCTTTCTTGTAGTGATCATCAATGGCATTTAAAAAGGATAGTAGTGTAGTGTCCCCAGCTTCAGAATACCAAAAAGTTCATGGAATTGTACACTTCAGATTAATAGAATTTTTCAAGCAGCATTTTTGAAACATGAAGGGAAATAACTTTTTTTTTTTTCTCTCAGAAAGAAGCATCTAAAGTTGTGGGAGAGGAGGTGGGGAGCACTGTTCATTTGTGAGCTGTGCTGTCTTTTTTCACTCTTTGGGCTTGTGGGGAGGGGAGAAAGGCTTTTTTTTTTAAGCCATGTGGCAGCTTCCATTAGCCTGGCTTAAGACAGACCTGGTATCTGTAATCATCTGTTTAACTGATGAGTCAAAGACCACATCTGTTGTTGAAGGATTTTCAAGACTTACTGCAGGTTGAAAACAATCCACAGGAAGGGAAGAACTTGTGCTGCTGGGGAGGGGGAAGAAATGTTCATGTTAGAAATGTAGTCTTTTTCAGTCAGAAATATACCAGTGTTCTGTAAATACCTTCAGTCATTTTTGTCTCTGTGTGTTTGGGGATAAATTTCCTGAAACTTGCAAATATTTTC